TTTGGATTTAAATTTAATGAGATTAATTATGGTTGGCTAGTAGAATAGTAGGAGTGCTTGGCTATAAGGATAGTGGGAGTAATTATTATAGGATTTTAATTACTTAAAAAAACTGAAAAAAAATTATGGTGTTGACACATCAGCAAAAATGGTATCCCAATGCTTCTCTTTAATATAAATAATAAAAAAAATTATTAAAAAAAAACAATAGCTAAAAAGGAGGATAATAGTGAAGCATGTTTAAAAATAAATTGGATTCGTTTGGAAAAAAAACAAGTTATGGGATTATTCTGATAACGGTGTTGCTTGGGCCTTTATATGAGGTATAAACTATAAAGCGTAAAAGATCTTCGGCCTCCTTTAATGATTAACATGGCCCAAAGCAACATGTGAAAAGAGGTCTTCAAAATGTAATGTTCATATTCATTTTTTGCCGTCTATTTTGGTTTCCATGAATTGATACTAATAACTTCAACATTCACAAATCAGTTTTTGAATAAATGAGATCATCATTTAACTAATTCAAAAACCGGAGAAAAAGGGAACTAATATTTAGATTAAATTTTATAAAAATGAATTTGTTTTTTTTTTTGTGGCACAGGAATTTGCATCCATCGATGAAAATAAAAGAGGTGTACAAGTACCAAGTATATGATAGTGTAGGACCTAATTAATTATTCTTACAAATTCCCTGAAGAAGAGGTAACAATACTAACCATGAAGCGTGCAGCTTGTGAATAAATGCTCTCTACTTGAACTGTTGGTGAGACTAAATGTTTTTCATACCAAATTCTTCTTCTCTTTTGTCTCAATCCATAATCAATTTTGATCTATGAAACATTACCTTTTTATTCCGTCGATGGAATTTCAAATCGAAACAGCAACTTTAATAAATAAGGTCGATTCTGTGGCGAAATGACAATTTCAGAACTTGCCAGAAATACAAAAGAAAAACTCTCGAGAAACTTGGAGAAAAATGAAGTTTTTGTCAGTTATTTGAAACCAAACCGTTTTTGTTTTGTGGTATGAAACCAGCTGGTTTAACTCGTTACCTACACATAGAGAGGTCCAATTTGGTTTAAACCGGACTGAACCATAAGAAGGGTATCGAAAAAGAAAATAAATTTGACTGAAATTAACACTCTAAAACCGTGTAGAACCGAATGAATTTGATTGAAATTGTTTCTTGTTTTTTTTTCCAAACCAAAAGACCAAAAACCGGAAGCACCCTACCTAAATGTATATTGCATGCCTAAACCAAACTAAACCATAACACCTTTCCGCTTCAGTTTATGCAGCTTTTAGATCCACTACACCTAAATGTATTTGGCTTGGCCTAAAAACTATCTAAAAGAACCAGAAAATGTATGGCACTGCCTAAATGGCTAAAACTAAACGGATGGATAACAGA